TAAATTTAAAAGATCATAAACTGATTAAATCGCATGAAACCAAACCATTTCAATTGGTGCGGTTCAGTGCGGTTTGATAGGAAAAACGGTCTGTATCGGTACTCAAAATAATAAAACTGACATTATCGGTTTGTAATTTTTTTTTCTAAATACTGACTATACCGAACCGATTATATTCCTAATCTACATTAATAACAAGAATATGGATAAAAGACAGTTTTGGTTCTCAAAGTAGAACTCGGCCTGACAAATGGTATCAGAGCCAAGTTGTCATGGGTTCGAGTTGCAAGAGCACCATCGTGAGGAAGGGATTGTTGGTACACAATGTCGCTTCTTGTGATTGCTTTTAAAAATAGGCATGTGAGGCCCGATGTCAAATGCTATAAAAGACATAATTGAAGCCCTTCTTATCATCAATTGGTTTTAGGAAAAAGGGTGGAACTTTGTCCGACAATGCGTTTCTTGTCATTTTAATCCCTCAAATTTTAAATTTTGTCATTTTGGCCTTCAAAATTGTCAATTTGAGTCAATTGGATCCTAACTCAAATTGAAAACTTTGAGGACCAAAGTGACAAAATTTAAAACTTGAGGAACTAAAATGACAAGAAATGTATATGTTAGAGACCAAAATTGTCTTTTGTCCTTGGATAAAATATTTTTCTTATAATCAATGTAAATGGATGTTAGAGGCAGGATTAAATTGACTCAAATTGGCAAAATTAAAAGGGCAAATTACAATGATAGTCCTTGTATTTTACCTATTATGTCATTTTAGTCCTTGTTCTTTTAATTGACTGGATTTTGACCATGAATTTATGATTTTGTCTCAATTTGGTCCAATTGATTACAACTCTTAACATTTTTTTAATGGAAAATACGCACATAATAAGTGTCACATGCCATATTTTTAAGAGCAAAATTATAATAGAAAAATTCATTTTCACCCTTATACTTTGCCTTGATGATCAATTACATCCCCGAATTTTGAATAATTTTAATTTTACCCCTAAAATTTTTGAAATCGTATCAATTTACTCCCTATTATTTAAAAAAATTACATTTTGACCTCAAATTTCAAAAAAAAGATGCAAACTCGCCCGCTTTTCCTCTCTCTCGTCATTTCGTAAATTACCCAAATCCCTCTGCCACCCTCCGCTGTCTCCCAAATCCTTCTACCACCAATACTAATACTATGTTTGGATAATAAGAAAAGATAATCATTTATTTTCTTTTTCAATCCACTATCCAAACACAGTATTGAAATAGAGAAAGTAACCATACCTACGTTGAATTCAACACAACAACAATAGTGAGGATTGCCCATACAGAGTATCTGAAGTTTTTTGATTATTGTTCCTTCATGAAAATCAACAGAGATATGAGCATCATAGCCAGACCCATCTTTATAGAGAATATGATCTTTCATGGGTCGGATCGACCCACATCCCAAGCCTTCACAGAAACCTCTTCAATTTCTTCCACCACTCTAAAAATTTGGTTCAAACTCGCCGACTCAAACAAAACCCAGAACTCACATCATCATTGTCTTCTTCCTCGTAGCTTGGAAGCCCATCTAGCTTGGATTACCATCCTTTGGATAACAATCTCTCTCTCTTTTCTTCACAAAACTCTTCCTGAATGAACCCAATTGGAATGCCATCTTTCTCTCTTCTCTCTGCATACTACTCAATCACATCTACGCCGAGGGGGATTTTGAGAATGTAAGCGGTCATGGAGGGTTCAGGGTCACGGGTGAGAATGTGGGGTGGTTTGGGTTTATTTTTGGAGTCGGGAGGGTGGCCTCTGGGGTAGTAGTGGACTTCGATGGTGGCGCTATCGCTGTTGGGTTCTTTTTTTGGAGGCGGTGGTGGGGTTGTTGGTTTCGTCAGAGGTTTGGGATTCTCGGCTGAGTTGGAAGTGGTGGTAGTAGGAAGGGTTGAAGTGGAGATAATGGAGAGGTTGTTGTTGTTGGAACTTTTGGGTTTGGTGGAGCTTCACAAACATGTTTAGGTGATCCTTTTCCTCCATATGTTCTTCTTTTATCTTCTCTCTCTCTCTCCCTCTCTCTCTCTATATATATATATATATGTATGCGTGTATGTGTGTGTGTGAAAGTGAGTGTAAGGAACTGGAACAGAGAAAGATGAGAGAGGTTGAAGAAGAAGAAGGGTTTTGGGGTTTGGATTTGGAGAAGGTTTGAAGAGATGGTGGATTTGAAGAATGGGAACAAGTTGCTTGTGGTCTTCTAATGGTGTTTGGAATTGTGGGTTCTCTATGGTTTGGTTCTAGGAACCTATTTTCATAGATTTCTTGAGGAAGAAGATGATTGGTTTGCAGGGGCGGAGGGAAGAGGAGCGCTAGCCACCGGAGGTGGAGCAAGGATCCTCTAGAGTGATTTTTTCCTAAAGTTTCCTAGAGTGCTACATTGTGTGGTTGAGATTTACTGACAAGTCACATCAATTTTTCTGATGTGACTTGCCAGTAAATCTCAACCACACAATATAGCAGTCTAGGAAACTTTAGGAAAATTTCACTCTAGAGGATCCTTGGTGCCGGAGGTGATGGCCTGCAGAGTTGTTGAAGTGTAGAGAGAAGATGATGAGTTTCTATCTTTCTTTTGAAAATTAGAATCAAAATGTAATTTTTTTTTTAAAAAAAACTTTTTCCATTTAAATGTAACGATATGGGATAAATTGATACAATTTCAAAAATTTTAGGAGTAAAATTGAAATTATTCAAAGTCTGGGGGTGTAATTGATCATCGAGGCAAAGTATAGAGGTAAAAATGAAAATTTCTCAAATTATAAACTTACTCAACGTAGTTAGTTAATTTCAATCAATTTAGTAATAATTTTTCTTAAAAAACACTAACGATATTATTAATTGAAACAAAATATAAAATTAAGGGTCAAAATTGAGCCAATTGAAAGTGCAGGGATTAAAATGACACAAAAGATGAAATATAGGGACCAACGGTGTAATTTGGCCAAATTATAACTTAAGTTGCTAAAATGACAAAAAAAAAAATGAAAAAAAAAAAAAAAAAAAAAACGTATATTTTAAGGATAAAACTATCTTTTATCCTTTATAACTTCAATCATATTAGATGGTAATGTTTTTTATAACACAGAAGTAAATGACGTAATTTATCGTATTTTTTCTAAGTCATATATATATGAGTGGTGCTCATTCCTCTAATTTTGTACCCTTAATTCACCCTTATTGACGTGACTCACTCCTACGTGAAATGATCCTACATGTTGAAGATAGTTGATTGGTTGTTATAGAAAGTGAAATTATCTCCGCATAAAAAACGAGATGATGTGTCCCTTTCTTGATCTTTACAAAGAGAAATCAAATGTCAGTAATCACCCCCAACCTGAATAAGTCGGAAAAACCCTCCAACAATTAAGTCAGTACATTGATCGGCCATTATAAGAAATAAGTATTAACTATATTTAATGGGTTTTTTGGGTTACCTCAGTCTATCATTGTTGCTTTACCTAGTTTTCTTTTTATAATTGCTTGGTCTACATCTTGATCATCCATTTTTCTTTTGATCGAAGGGTTCTTCCTTCATCAAAGGCCAGTTAAGCTAATTGCCAACTTATCTTTGATATTGATTGTTGGATCTATCCCGTTGGATGGCTGAGATGGTGTCAGTGTTGGTGGCCAACTTGCTTTTCACCCTGACTGTGAGATGGAATGGATCGGACGACCTTCCCTTTTACAAGGCCTAGCCTATATTTTTGCGCCTCTTGACATACATCCTCACTCATCGTATTAGGTCTGATCTAATGGTTCTCTTTGTCCCAAAGATCTTTATTCTAGAAGGATAAATGTCCCCTGGCTGTCCTCACGCCCCTGCATCTGATCACTTAAGTCGATATCTCTTTAGGCCCAAGATATTTTTGGGCTTTTATAATTTTTTGGACACACGAGTTGGGCTTGGACTCATGTTTTTTCCTTCCGCAGTTATTGTTGTTTGTCACTTTATTAAAGATATAATTGGGGGTGATGAAACATTTTTCTATATATTACAAATTCAAAATTTTTATCAATAAATTTACTAAAATCGTCAATAATAATTTAGATTCATTTTACTCTTAGAATCAAAGTCTAAACCACTAATTTTTAATCTAATGTTAAATTCTGAGTTAATAGTGTTTTTTTGTTTTTTATTTTTTTTTCTTGTGGTGATTTTAGGGGTACAATTACGTGGTGCTTCAAAGATGTTCTAATTTGTGAAGAGTATGAAGCTCATGATTTTATCTTGAATAATTGAGAAATAAAAAAAAAACATGATATGTAATAATTAATAAAGAATGTAAACATATATGATGACCATGAGTAGCAAATAATTTTGAAAAATGTTATAAGTTTCAAAATTTTTAACAAATGAATAATCAAATATCTTACATAAGTACGAAACCCACACTCATATAAAACATTTGATCATTTATTTATGTTGTGTTTAGTTATGAGATTTGGAGAGAAATTTAGAAAATGAAAGGGAAAATGTGTGTAAAACTAAAGGAAATGTAAATATATTTTATTCATATTTTACCTAATTTTTTCCTTTATCTCTTCAAATTTATCCTTAATTCTCTAACCAAACACAACATTAGTAAAAAATTTAATATCCCTTACCTGAATAATTTTCCTCATACACATGTCACATTCGGTTTTCCATTTTTCCATTTTTCCATTTTTCCATCTCATGTCATGCAAGTAGCAGCCTACTCTCTCTCTAACCCCCTTTGCGAGAGAGAGAGAGAGACCTTTCTTTAACCCTTCAATTTTCCTTCACAAAACAACAGCAGTTTGCGCCCCTTCGCCAGCTCATTCACTCAACAAATAGCATCACCGAAACACACCTCTTTCTCTCTCTCTCTAAGTCCTTTTTCAACGTTTTCTTTTCTCCACCAGATCTCTCGCACTCACTCTTGGAGATGCGTGCTTGTTGAGATTTCCCTCTCTTTCTGGTTTTCTGGGTCCTTCCTCTCTCTCTCTCTCTCTCTTTTTCTCTTTGCATTTATACCTATATACCTATATCTATATATATATATATACATATCACTTGACTCTCAGCATACCCATTTTGCGTATCTGATTTTCTTTCTATTTTCTGTGTTTTTTGGGTATAAAGATAACAGGGTTTGAGACCGAGAGAGAGAGAGACACACACACACACACAAACACACTGGATATGGAGAATGTTGTGGAGAGAGAAAACGGTGCGACTGTTTCTACGATGTTCAGTGAAGAGGAAGTGAAAGAGATGAGTGGGTTCAATCGAAGAGACGATTATGTGGAAGTCACGTGTGGGTGTACGAGCCATCGGTATGGTGATGCTGTTGGGACGCTTAGGGTTTTTATCACTGGTGATCTCGAAATCAGTTGTGAATGTACCCCTGGTTGTCAGGAAGGTCTCTTCCCTACCCTATTCGGAAAATGGGTTCGAACAATACGCATATGATATTGCGAGTTTATATAGATATTCTCTGCTACACTGGTTTTCAAGTTGATGAGTGTCACTCTGTGTTGTCTTGTGTTCTTTTACGATGGAATGTGATTCTTTGTTGCTTCTTATTCATGGGTTTGAATCGCATTTTGAAATTTACTTCCTTTTTTCTTTTGTACACTTCAAGTGTATGTTGATTTGTCTGTGTGAACCACTTTTCTTTGATCTCATTCTACAAAATGGCGCAGAAACATGGTCTTCTGTTGATTGGGTTACTCTTTTCAATGTGGGTATTGTAGATGCAAATGTTTTTGGGTTTCAAATTTAATGTTTGATTTAGTATTTGGTTTATCATATAGCATGGTTGTTTTTCTACATTGATTTTGACTATGAAATATTCTTGTTTGCTATGGTACATCATTGCTGCTGTGCTTTTTATGACAATAGGGACAAGAGAGTGATCATGGAAGGGCTTCATTGCTTCTTTGTATGACTAATATCTTTCTGCTGTGGTGCTTTACAATGGGTCCTCAAGCCAAAATTGCACCTAATTGAAATAGCCCAATTTTCTTTTTCTTCTACAAGCACAAGAAGAATTAATGTTGTATTAATGTGTAGAATTGGGCTGAGGAATGAAGTTTTACTGCCACTACAAGATTGCAATTACAAATTTGTATGCTAGGCAGAAGGCTGAACCACTCTGAAGGCTGGTTCTATTCTCCTTTTAGGAGGAGCAGTTGTAACAGATTAGTAGGCCAAGTAGTTTCCTTGCTCTCAGTTATCTTTTAAGTTGTCACAACTGCAAGTATGCCTTCAAGTCTTCAATGCCTATTCATCCAACATTTTCTTTTAACTGATAAAGATGTCTGCTGCCCAGTTGTTCTTATTGTATCATTGGCCTTGTTAGGGAGGTTATTTCTTTTTAAGCATTTGTGAGAAATTAGCATTTAGTATTGGACACTTATTGTTTTTGAACAATAGAAGCATAGAACTACATGGGGATTTCAAATTCGTTGTTTTTCTGTTGGACTGTTAGTTTTGTTATGTGCTATTTTTCTCTTATTTAATGAATATGTTTTCTTCGCTTTACTAATTTGTTTATGATTTTTCGTTCATTACTAGATAAGTTGACCCCCGCTGCATTTGAGAAGCATTCTGGTAGAGAAACAGCTAGGAAATGGAAGAATAATGTCTGGGTCATTGTTAATGGGGAGAAGGTTCCTTTGTACAAGACACTGCTGCTTAAATATTACAATCAAGCATCAAAAGGTTCCAATAGGTCCCATAGATCACACAATGGCCGAGTTTGTCATCGTGATGAGTTTGTTTGCTGCACTAGGTGTAACAAAGACCGCAGGTTCCATCTCCGCACCAAAGAGGAATGCACCAAAAGACCAAGCAAGGAAGTAAAAATGCAGGAAAAAAAAAATGAAAGGAAGTTTGACAGAGTTGAGAACTACATCAAGAACAGTACTGTTTACACACCAAAAGACCAAGCAAGGAAGTAAAAATGCAGGAAAAAAAAAATGAAAGGAAGTTTGACAGAGTTGAGAACTACATCAAGAACAGTACTGTTTACACACCAAAAGACCAAGCAAGGAAGTAAAAATGCAGGAAAAAAAAAATGAAAGGAAGTTTGACAGAGTTGAGAACTACATCAAGAACAGTACTGTTTACACACCAAAAGACCAAGCAAGGAAGTAAAAATGCAGGGAAAAAAAAATGAAAGGAAGTTTGACAGAGTTGAGTTGGTTCACAATCTTGATTGTATCAGAACAAATGAGGACAATTTGGCACTATATAATTTGTGTTCAAACAAGAGACCAAAAGCCCTCCAGCTCAAGAGCAAGCATTTTTTATATTTTGTTTTTCTTGTTTTTGAAAATTAACTGTTATCTTTATTTCAAAATTTTAAAAGAAGAAGAAGAAGAAGATACCACAAACTATGAAACCAAAATCAAGTAAAATTATCTTCACAAAAGAAACCAAGATACCACACAGCAAATACCAGAAATTATATCAGGAAGTGGAACCAAAACCATAAGGACAATAATATGCAAAAAGTCAGACGATCCTTGGACAAAATAAAAAGTCACAAGTCAGCTTAATTGATGAAACAGAAAACCAGTAAGAAAAAGAACAATTTAAATATTACAATCAAGCATCAAAAGGTTCCAATAGGTCCCATAGATCACATAATGGCCGAGTTTGTCATCGTGTTGAGGATTTAGCATGTTCAGTTCAGCTGGTGTTGTGAATGTGGGACCTTCTAGTCTTCTTTTTGTTTTTTTATTTTTTTCTTCTTTTTTTAAAGGAACAGCCATCATCAGTATATAGGACAGGCCTATATGTCCAAGTTTATTTGTTGATCATAAAGGTAAAATTTATGTGGTTATTTCATTGATGAACTTGTCCTCATACATTAAGATGTAGGTATGGTGATTGGAGATGATTTTCTTATGTTTTCATAGGCTAGCCTGTCATTAAAATAGAAAACTTGTTTTTCTTCTTTTGATGATTCTAGTACACCACCCTGACATGCCTTTAATTTTTGATGCTGTACACAGTTCAGACCATTGTGGCATCTTATGTTGTTGATAAGATGCCTGATTGTCTAAGAAGACCTCAGTTACTGCTGATAAAGAAGAATGCCTCCTTATATCTTTTATATGCTTCAGTCAGTGAATAAATTTGGCCTCTTCAATTTGCCACCTCTGTTGAGCTTGCAGGAATTTTAGGCAATCATTAAATTTCTTATTCTTTGAATGGTCTTAGTATTTTAGATACTTACATTTGTTGGAGCCTCCAGAAAGATCACTTATCATGGAATTGTATTTGTCTATAATACCAATATAGTTGTACGTAGCTACGGTGAAGAAGAGGTTACTTTAAAGTTTGGGGGAAATGGTTCTTTTATCAATCCGTTACGCCTAGTTCTATTCTATTTCCTTCATAGTGCCTTTCTCACATGCAAGGGAAAATTCTTTCCAGTTTCTCTGAGTTTGATTCCTTGAATTCATTGTAATGATTCCAACAATTTTAAAAAATCATATATTTTAGTATAACCTGGCTTGGTCATAATTACAATATAATTATAGTAGTTATAATTCATTATTTTCTTTTTTATTGGAACAAGTAATCCTTATGATGTTTTCTTATCTTTCAATCTCTCTTCCTTACCCATAAAGTACACAATTTTGTTTACATATGCTATCCACTCAACGCTCTTAGTTAGAATACATAAAGGGTAAAATGTAACTTTGTTATTTTCTTTTCCTTAATTCAATGGACTGCTTGGTTAGAGTGAGATAAGTAGCACGTGGTATTTTTTGTCAGCTAATTGGATGATAGTCATCAATTAGTTCACATTGGGAAAAACAATAGTTTAATGGCTCAATCGGGAAAATATAAAGAGCAATGACCAATACTTTAGGAGGCAAAGTTTAAGCACCCTTGATTGTATTAACATAAGTACAGATAGATAATAATAGATGATGCCTTATCTTTTTAAATACGTGAAGGTTGTTCACGTGTCTGCCATGATCCAAAGATTTTAGAGATTAAAAAAAGGAAGGTTGGATTGGCTGGTAAAACATTGAAATATGAACTTATACGAGCTTGATAACTGCCTAAGTTTCATCAGACACCGATATTCCTCTCATGAAACATCATGGTTGTGGAAGGTATCATTTGGTCGAGCTTGTGCATGGAATAGAAAAAATTAAACCTAATTAACATTAACATTAAAAGAAAAAAAGAAGAAGGTAAGATTATGAGGAAAATATAAAAGAATGTTGTTTATATTATTATAAGTTTTATCAATCAAATATGTAAATTTATACAAAATACCAAACATAAACAAAAAATAAAATAAAATAAAATAAATTAATAAATGTATGTAAATGTAAAATTTAATCAAAATAAATTTATATATTCTTGTGTTCACTGGCCTATTTGAGCTGGGCTTTGTTCTACTTGAGCTCAACTTGATCACCTAATGAACCTAAAAATTTGGTTTGAGCTTGTTCATTTAGCAGACAAGCCGAGTTCTAGTTGTTCATGGTTTGTTTGCAGCCCAATTTGGCATGATCCTATATAGAACAATGGATAACATGACAATCTGTCGGAGGATGTTGGAGCCAGTAGTGTCACCAATGTAACAAACACTAGATCAGGTCTTTCTTCATCGTCTTCTTCTTCTTCTTTTATTTTTTAGTTATTTATTTCTTTTTTAGAGCAATTCAATCATGCTAAAATCTTTCATTTAATATAATGGCAATGTGGCATATGAAGAATGTTGACATCACTAATTGGTGCTAGAAATAACACTGCCCCAAGGAGATGGCTGAAAAACACTGAAATGTCAGGTTATGTTGCATGTGCATAGATGTTTCTCTATTCTTGTAAGAATAATTGTGGATTTCTATTTATATCAGTATATGAAATTACAGAAAATCACAACTTTTTGACATCTAGGGAAAGTGACAACATGGATGCATTCGTTAACAGTATCTTTTATCTCATTTCATAGATCAAGCCACCAAATTCTATAGTCTAACCTAAAATGGTAATAATTGTCCTTGACAATTTATTCACTGCATATATGCCTTTTGGTGTTTATTTTGAAATTTGAGAGATTTCACTTACTATGAAGCACAAACTTTCCATTTTATTTGCTGCACTCATGTCAGACACACTTGGGACATGCCAAAATACGTGTCTGACACACCGTGTGGTTTGTCAATTTAAAAAAAAATTATTTTCATAAGATACTACTTTAATTTCATTATTTTCTTCTTTGGAAAGAAATATGACATTGAAATTTTTTTCTTGTTTTTATTCTAACATTTTTGTTATAATACTATGCTAAAATTATTACAATTTCAATTTCATAATAGTTTGGATAGTTTACCTATGAGTGTTTGAAAAAGTATCTGATATGTCTATTATGCATTGGATATCTGCGAGTATCTTTTGCTATCTGATATGGTTATGATTCAGATACAACTCTAGAACTATCAGTGCTTCATAGTTTGCTGTGCTAGCTTAACTGGAACTGTAAAACACTGTGGGGAAGGTTAAATTGGAAAAAACTTGTCTAATTTATGTTAGTTTCTTAAATATATTACTGTGCTTGAGCTACCATTTTATGTACATGTTCAAAATTGAAATTATGGATTCATGTGACTAACTGCTTATTTTTGCCACAGAATAAATTGTGATAATGATGAAGAAAGGGCAAGTCGCAGGGTTTATAGGGGCTGCCTCCGTTGTCCGACATGCAAAGGCTGCACCTCTTGTGTGTGTTTTGGATGTGAAGTATGTCGTTTTTCAGACTGCAGCTGCCAAACTTGCATTGACTTCACTAGGAATGCAAAAACTTGAGTATGGTCTTCACACTGGGGCGTCTTAGCCCCGAAATTGTCATTTTTATTTTGGGTGGGTTCTTTATTCCCATTGTTTCTTTAATTTAATTTAAGCCCCATCCAACATTTACGGAAAGCTTCAGTCAAGCTCTCTTTCTTTCTCAAATTAGACTTGAATTTTCACCCCCTGAATCACAGTTGACAGTCTACAACTAGCAAAATTCAGTAATTTATTATTCTCTTTGTTAAAATATGCAGTGTTTTATAGAATGAGCTATTCCTCTGCTGTTGTTGTTGTTGTTGTGTTTTTTTTTTTTTAATTAATATTTTTGTATTGTTATTTTTTGGAAAAATGCCCACCAACATTGAAGTTTGTTTTATTTTGAAGAGCTTAACCTAAACTTGGACCCTTGTTGATGCACCAGACTAGAAACCATACAAATGATAGGATAGTGAACTTGAAATTTGCTATAAGCAACTTGCCAAAAAACTTGGACCCTTGTTGATGCAAGAGTCCAATCAGTCGGTTGAGTTGTTTTCATACAATCAGTTTGAACAGTGTCGGAGCCTTAAATTTCAGCCCTGTGATGTGCCAATCTAAGCCCATTGTGAGTTTATAAACTTGGCTTGGAAAAAACTGGGAATGCTAGTGTAGTACCAAATCCAATCTTCTATAGTGGGTCAAGTCTTGCTTCATTTTGGTTCATCTTTTAGCTTATGTTTGATATCTGGCTTGGAAGGGTGGACAAGCCTTTGATGGGATTGGAGGAGGAGACATTCAGGGCTGCTCATCTCTTCTAGATTGTTAATATATATATTGAACTCAAAGGAAAGAAAATTATATTAACAACACCACCTTAGTACAAAGTTTAGGATTAGACACGGCATGTTCACCGAGAAGCACCCAACACATCCAATTACAAAAAAGGCCTCAAAAACATTAGGCTCGTATTTATGTCTATAGCCAATGGTATGTGCTGAATTACAAATTTAGCCTAGGCATCTGCAACAAAATTGACTTCTCGGTACATAAAATGAAGCTGTGAAGCTTCAAACCCTTGTGCTAGAGCTAGGCTGTCCAGAAAAAAGCTTCTCCAGCTTGTGATGACGAACTTCCTTCCTACGAAATACATGGAAAAACC